AAGGAAACCTTGTTTATAAAAGCAAAAGTAACTGGAAATAACCAGAACTTCATCACTAGGAGATCAGAAAAATAAATTATGGAATAACCATATTATAGTATAGAAAAGAAAGTGTATCAGGATGGGATAAATTTATATATACACTATATACATATATATATGTGTATATACACACACACACACTGTGTACAAACATATATAGACTATATACACACACAAACACACATATGCACTTCTTTATTTATAAATATTTATATATTTGTGGAATGTATCTGGAGGCATACACAGGAAATGATTAACAGTGTTTACCTCTGGGAGTAGGGTGAGGGTAGAGCAGAGGGTGGAAAGCATATGAAAAAGGGAGAAATAGACGCAACTCTGCTGATCAAAGGAAATAGGAAAGTGTTTCAGTAATTTCACAGAGTGATCTTACAGAAAGAGCAAACAGAAGGATAACTCAATTTCCATAGGCAAGGAGGGGATTTGTGAGTTGTATACCTCTTAAAAAACAAGCAAAATAATTTGTTACTCTGTTCCCATCATGCACAATATGATTTCCCTGTCAGAGAAGAGGGGAGCTTAAAGAAAAAAGTCAGGAAAGGGGAAAACTAAAGAAACAGTCGAGGCCACCAGCTCTGGAGCCGGCTATGCGCCACGTGTGCACTTCAGTAAAGAGGTTAGAGGTTATCTGTTAGCTCAGATCTGATTGTCTGCCTCATTCTGTCAGCCCCCTCTTTCCCCTGTATTGAGCTAATTCTCTTTTACAAAACAAAGATGTGAATTATATTGGAAAAAGAATATTCAACATGTTTCAAAATCCATGAATTATTAGCCTGTGTATTTTCCTAGCCATTAATATGGTAAATTAATACATCTGGAGTGTTCAGTCCGTCCCAGGAACTACTACTCCAAGCTCTCTCCATGTATTCATTCATTTTGCTTTTCCATAGTCCTCAAAGACAGGTACCATTATTATAAATCTACAAATCCAGTCATTCAGTAAGAAAATCCAGGCTCGAAGTTATGCAACATGTTCAACTGCAAAATTGTTCTTTACTTTGAAACAGAATCCAATTTTACTATAATGTACTAAAAGTATGATATAAAAGTAAGCAACTCTCCAAGATAAATTCATTTAAATCCATTTATTCTAAGATTGCAGAATTGATGCAGATCAAATAAATAGTCCTGACATGCTGAGCCCAATGATTAAGTTAGTAATTAACTTTTTAACATTATAAGCTATTCACACACACACATATATCAAATTCTCTATGTTGCTAAAAAATATGAAGTAGAATTATTAAAATATTAACATCCTTTCAGCTATTTCAACTTTGTTCAACTAATAAGACTGGATTAACAGTAGTCTAATCTTTTACGTAATGTTTCAAAAAAAAAATTTCAGCTTTACAGAGAAGATTTTAGTAGACAGTATTTTATAAATGGGAAAATACAGGTTAGTAAAGCGACAACCTTTGACCACAAAGTAACTCATTAGAGGTAACCTACCTAGAATGAGAAGTTACTGAATTTCTCCCTTGTGGTCATACCACAAACCATGAAAAATGTGTGGTGTACCACCTAAAACACATTAAACTTCACTGGTACTTTAAATAGTTTTCCTAAGCCATTAGCCATACAGAAATGTAATTAGCTTGTTAAATATGCATCAGCCACAATCATATTTACTCAAAACTTGAAGACATATAGAATACACTAATCTCTATTAAATTGGGTGAAAATTTATATGTGATCCTATTAACATTCCCCTAAAGCAAGAGATCCACCTAAAACATTATTTGAAAGTTGGTCATTTCCTGCTGTTTGAATTTATTTCATTGAGTAGATGCTCTCTACTTTCAGATTCAGCTTTTTCAAATTTGAAATTTGTATTGGCTATAAAAGTTCTTGACATGAATCAAACTTTGCTTCCCTATTTTTGACCCATTTTTTCTGGCTCTTCCAAATGAAGCTATATAGTCCATTCTTTTCTTTCCTATAGCAGCCCTCCCAGTAATTTGTAGACAGCCAGCCCACCTCCTTAAGTTGTTTCCAGATTAGTTATCTCCAGCTGCCTCCAAGTTTCTTATCAGACTGTCTTTCAGCCTCTCATTGGCTGGTTAATGTTCTTGCTGAAAGTAGCTACAGGGTGCCAAGCTTGTCTGACTATTGTAGATTACAATGTAAACATGGCTCCCTCAGCTGTCTCCATACTGTTATTTATGTAACCCAGGCCTGTGTTTCTGTAGTTAACTTCTGTATGCTTTAAGCAATCTGGTCACACATTTGATTGCTACTGAGTTTGGGTTAAATTAAAATTTCAAGATGTTTACATTAACCCCCATCGGATTGTCTTTCACTCTCATTTTCAAGCTGTCACAGCAATTTCGCTATATTTGTTCTACCTTTACTCTTAACATAGGCAGCTTATATTTTAGCTAACTTTTCAGCTCTGTATCATCTGCATACCTAATAAAACAGCTTCCTGTGTCTTCATCCAGGTCATTCATCAAAAACTGAATAGGTCAGGGACATGGACAGAGGCCTTCAGCAAACCACTATGGCCCTCAGTTCAGGCAGATAAATAACAACACACACAGGATGCATATAAAAAGCTCAACTTAGATAAACTGCTGAAGATCAGAGAATCTTGCAAATGCAATTTTAATTTCAGCAAGTATTTGTTTTATGTTGTACAGTTTAGCTTTACTTTTTAATTGTTTGGTGGGAGGTTGGAGAACACCATAAACCTTCCATAATTAGAACTTCTCAAAGAGTTTATAAAACAATAATTCTATGAGGTAGGAATTACTGTCCCCATAATGCAGATTTAGAAACAAAACTTGGAGAGAGTCAATAACTTAAGGTTACAAAGATAATGACAGAGCCAGAATTCAAACCGAAGATGCAGGTCTCCAATTGTTCCAACTAGTTTATTAACTAAACAGCTCGGTTTTCTCCTCCTTCAGAAGCGAAGTGAAGTGAAGTCGCTCAGTCAGGTCCAACCCAATGGCAGGCTTCTCCATCCATGGGATGTTCCAGGCAAGAAAACTGGAGTGGGGTGCCATTTCCTTCTCCATTCTCCTTCAGAGCTAACTATAATATCATACCTGGGAAAAGGTCCCTGCCTTGAGTCTGTACAGTGTTCTCTCTTAATAGTATCACCTCACTTTCCTCCAAAATTGCCAGATGGTAGAAATCCTACATTCTTATTAAACAAGAAAAAAGAAGATGCAAGGGCCTGAATGCATCTGTTTACATAAAAAAGTTCACATGCATACTCAGAAACACATAAGAAATTATTTCTCACGAAAGACTGAACATTACCACCATGTAGAAATAATTTTCAAAGGGAGCATATTTTAGTTGACCTACTGAATTGGTGACATTAACAGTGCTTAAGTGGATCCAACTCTCACGTTAGCCTCTTTATCAAGCAAATCAGCACTGGGCAATAGAACCTGGAATTTGAGTCAGAAAAGGAGTGTTCAAATCTCTCCTTAACACTTCCCAGTTCCTTAGGAGAGTATGCTGGGTCTCTTTTGGTCTTACTCTGTACTCTCCCAAAGTGATCTCTTCTAAAGCAAGGGCTCCATTTTCCAACTCTAAGCCAGTAGTTGTCTAGTGTATTTCTCTAGCATGAACCTCTGTTATGGAATTTCACCTCTGCATATTCCACTTCTCTGAGAGTCTCCATTGGAGAGCTCACAAGAACTTCACACTCAGCTTGTCTTTAAAAAAAAACAAACAACTCACCATCTTGTGCCAATCTCCAGCAGTCGTTATTTCATTTTTTTTTTTTTTCATAGAATAGTAGTGACTAAGTTCTAATTATCTTCAATACACACATGGGTGAACACACATGAGTGCACACACATGACATGGATGTCCTTGGGGTTGTTTTGCCCTTTCATTGATTAATTTCAGAAATGATTACTGTATTACATGTTAGTCGTTCAGTCCTGTTTGACTCTTTGCGACCCCACGGACTGCAGCCCACCAGGCCCCTCCGTCCACGGGCCTCCCCAGGCAAGAATACTGGAGTGGGCTGCCACCCCCCTCTCCAGGGGATCTTTCCAACCCAGGGATCAAACCTGGGTCTCCAGCATTGCAAGCAGATTCTTTACCATCTGAGCCCGCAGGGTAGCCTGGCTATTATTAAAAAATGCTTCCAAACATACAGAAATTTTAAAGCAATGCTTCTGAGATTTGACAAATAAGCCAAGTGCCACACTATGAAGTGATTCAGGGTGATATTGCACGCTGAATGAGATCAATAACATTTTGTTTCAAACAGCTGGAGATGCAGTATCTGCAGACTTCATAATCAGCCTCCGTGTTTTGACTTAATGCATAGAATTCAGCAACCTAGCAGTCGTTATTTCAGTTCAAGGCACCACTATCCATCCACTCACTCACACTGGAAACTTGGGTAAGCAACCTCTGTATCACTAATAATGAATCTCTAATCCTGAAGTCCTACTTTAAAAACCAATTTTCAGAAGCTCTTCACTTTCCTTTGCCTCTTCTGTTCCTCTTTGGTTCACACCCCTATGTTCTTTCCCCTGAATCCAGTTAAAGCTGCTTAAATGGCTCCCGTTTCAACTCTTCCTGAGCTCAATTCACTACAATAGGGAGTTTTTCTAAAATCCAAATCTCATCATGTCACTCTTTTGCTTAAAAATAATTCCATTGACTTCCCCTAGGGAAAAAAATTTAAATTTCTTACTATGTCTTATAGGACCTATATCACAAGCCTCATCTCCTACCACTCACTTACATAACTCTACTAGATCTCTTCCCACTTCCTCAGATTTAATATGCTTTCTAATGCTGTACGGTTTGGAAGATTATTCTTACATTGATCTCCTGGGAATGCAGTGATGGACATATGGAATTACTTCCATTTCAGTATAAAGACTATCAGATACAAAGGCCACTCCCTCCTGATGCCCTGGAAAGTTGCATGGGGTAGAAGGAGGAAATGAGATACCAACCTGGATGAGCATCCAGCTAAACTGGCAAAGATACAGGTAATGTGTGACTGCAGCAATGGCTGAACAGCTCTCCTCTGTGAGTTGGGGACTTGCATATGCAGATGCCAGAAATACAATCTGTAAGAAACAAATACCGTTATTTTTAAATCATGTTAAAGTCAATTGAGAATATTTTAAAAAACCAATTTTCTTATTTGAATCAACGATTCAATGACTCAAAGGGAAAATAAGTTGATTTGTTTCCCAAACTGAGAAGACTAAGTGATCCTAAAAACAAAAATACATGGATTTTTTATGTTTCTAAGAAAAAAATTAATGATATGAAATTATGCAATATGCTGTTTTGGACTGTCATTGGAAATTCTCAAAGTAAATTTTGTTCTCATCATGGATCAACAAAATCATATGAAATATATTTCCCTAAGTACAAATGAGAAAATAGAGTGGAAGTACCATTCTTTGTGTAAGTCAAACCTCATAGGAGAGAAAAAAAAGAGGCAAAATTTCTAAGTTTATTATCATTTGCATCATCTCGTTAGGAAGTAATTCATGTAACAAAATAGACAAAATAAATCTTAAATTTCAAATCCTACAGTTACCCTAATTCTTGGATTTTTATTTCAACTGCCTTCAAGTCTGTTCAAAAGTATCCTTCACAACAAGATCTCTCTTGACTACACTATTGAAAATTACATCCCATTTTCTTCTTTATTTCCCACTCATGTGATCACCTGACTCTCCTTTTTTTTTTTTTAAATAGCACTTGTCACTTTCTAACACACTCAGTAATTTATTTCTTATGTTTCTTGGTCATTTTTAGTCTCACTCATTAGAATGTAATCCCTGTAAAGGCAAAATCACTGAATGTTTTACTCACTGTTGTACCCCACTCACATAGCCCAGTATCTGGAACATAGTAAAGTGAAGTGGCTCAGTCATGTCCGACTCTTTGCCACCCCATGGACTGTAGCCTACCAGGCTTCTCTGTCCATGGGATTTTCCAGGCAAGAGTACTGGAGTGGGTTGCCATTTATTGGGGGTACTCAATAAATACTTGTTGAATAAATGGATAAATAAATGAAGTGAAACACTCCTGTTGATTTTTATTATTTTGTATTTTCTCTATTATATGACTACTGTGTTAAATTTTATAATGGAAAGTATACATGGCAATAATAACACACTGTAACATTGAAAGGGATAAATTCCCTCCCTCTTTAGGACAGAGACCAAGTCTTCTTGACTTAATATTTTTATAAGCTACCACTATGCTTGAAATACGCCTGAAAAATGATTGTTGAAAGAAAGAAAGATAGATTCCAAAATGATAAAGGGGTGTTGAAAGGAGAAAACTAACTGACTTATGTCTCAAAATAGCCCAGCTTCTAAAAAGGAAAGACAAATATCATTAGTGCTTCTTGGATTTAAAAAAATGAGTAATGTGCTCAAAATAGGAAATACAAATATCATTAATGCTTCTTGGATTTAAAAAAATGAATAATGTGCTCAAAATCAAATCAGAGTATTGTTTCTATTTTCAAATGAAATAGGCCCCTCCCCCATCCAACTGTCCCAAACATGTGTACATTAAATTTTCTCAAAAACTTCTGCCCAAAAGTTTTCCCAGGATGGGATCACTGTGGTGAATGACAGGATCTGGGATGAGACCTCACATGCTTCCAGCGTCACTATTTCACAGGGAAAGACTAACCATAACCAGTCTCCTCAGTCAATTACAGAAGAACCAAAATGCTAATTAATAAATTTACAATAATATGTATCTCATGCCATGCTGACTCTTCCCTCTTTGGAAATATTTATTGAGTACTTCCTGTACCAAGTATAGGAGAAAAAGTATCCTGCCTTTTTTTCTTTTTCAAGCTATGGACACTGAACAAGTTAGTTTACCCTTTTGGGACTAATTCTCTCATCAGTATAAGGCAGAAGTTAGAAAACATTAACTGTAAAGTCCCTTTCTATTTCAAAATCCCAGTATTCTTTTTCAAATGAGAAGTATTCCTGTTTCAATTTTTTGTTTATTTAGTTCTACATTGGGAGTATACGTTGCTCACAATAAAATAAAAGCAGACACTAAGGAATGAATGTCTCATTACTTCCTAACAATCTGGTATAAATGAGTTCCCTGAATAAACAAAGTCAACAAATTGCCTTTCTAGACCATATCACAGATAGCTTTTGAATTAATTAGGGCTTACCTTAAAAACATGCTCAGATTTTCCTAGATTTTTAGCTTCTAAGTTCTGAATTGTAATATGTCATAAATTTAACCTTCCTAAATTGTACAAACACATTTTTTACCAGCTGAGCCACAAGGACGCCCAAGATACTGGCATGGGTAGCCTATCCCTTCTCTAGCGAATTTTCCCGACCCAGTAATCAAACCAGGGTCTCCTGCATTTCAGGCGGATTCTTTACCAGCTGAGCTCTCAGGGAAGTCCGTTCTCTTAACACCTTCCTCAAAACACTAACAATGAACAACAAACACCGGAAACTATGCCTTGAAAGACTCAAGAGACACAGAACTATGAGATTCAGTCCCCAAAAATTAAAAAAAAATTTTTTTAATTGTATGATCTTTCTTTTTACAAAGTGGCATCTTTTCATAAAGATTTTATAAGAGTACTTATAAATCTCTCTAATTCAGACTTTATAGTATAGATTGTGTTGAATTTATTCTGTGGTTTTGTTCTGATCAACCTGAATAGTTTGCGAGGTAAAACAACAAAACAACAGCGTAATTCAAGCTGTAGGGCTTCCCTGACGGCTCAGAAAGGAAAGAATCTGCCTGTAATGCAGAAGACCTGGATTCAACCTCTGGGTCGGGAAGATTCCCTGGAGAAGAGAATGGCGACCTACTCCAGTATTCTGGCCTGGAGAATTCCATGGACAGTGGAGCCTGGCGGGCTACAATTCATGGGGTTGCAAAGAGTCAGACATGACTGAGAGACTAACATTTTCACTTTTAACTTTCCAAACTGTAATTGAATATGCTTAGTTTTATGCATTCTATGAAACTATTCATAAATGGTACACTAATTTAAATGATTCTTATTCTTCTCACTGTTTATTTCTTTGAAACAAATCAGTACAAGTCATTGTTTAAAACTGTATTTATTTTCAAAAGACAATTTTAACACCTAAAATTTTATCCTCAAGATACTTCTTCATGTTTTATTATGTTGTAATTTTTTTCTAAATCATAAGACTAGTTACAAAACTACTTGTGTAAACTATGAACATTCTTCCAGAATGTTCTCTGAATTAAGAGAAATGCTTTTTCTCATAATGGGAAAAGATTGATAGATTGGTAAGCAAGAGAAGGCTGAGCTCTTAATAAACATCACAAAAACAGGGATGAGCTAAGAATACTTGGAGAACCAGCAATTACACATTGGGCCTATCTAAAGCTAAATTAAGGTGAATTAAAATACAAATTAAACAATGAAAGTAAAGCAAAATCTCCTAGCATATTTGGCTCACATATCCTTAAGACACTTAACCTAAGAGACAGGAATTTTACCACGGCTTTTTTACTCAAACATATAGAGATGACCAGGAAAAAGGGATATTCTCCATCAGTTCTCTGGATACACTAAGTTGAATGCCATAAGAGGAAACAATATTTTTTTCAATGGTTCTCAATCATTCAAGTGTTGACCCATTCAGTAAGCAAATGTTGGAGTGCCTACTATCTACAAAGCACTTTACTATCTATGCAAAATGAAGAATCAGTTCAGGTCAGTTGCTCAGTTGTGTCTGACTCTTTGCGACCCAATGAACTGCAGCACCCCAGGCCTCCCTGTCCATCACCAACTCCCGGAGTCCACCCAAACCCATGTCCATTGAGTTGGTAATGCCATCCAACCATCTCATCCTCTGTCATCCCCTTCTCCTCCTGTCCCCAATCCCTCTCAGCATCAGGGTCTTTTCCAGTGAGTCAGTTCTTCGCATCAGGTGGCCAAAGTATTGGAGTTTCAGCTTCAACATCAGTCCTTCCAGTGAACACCCAGGACTGATCTCCTTTCCGATGGCCTGGGTGGATCTCCTTGCAGTCTAAGGGACTCTCAAGAGTCTTCTCCAAAACCACAGTTCAAAAGTGTCAATTCTTAGGCGCTCAGCTTTTTTTATAGTCCAACTCCCACATCCATATATGATCACTGGAAAAACCATAGCCTTGACTAGACAAATCTTTGTTGACAAAGTAACGTCTCTGCTTTTTAATATGCTGTCTACGTTGGTCATAATTTTCCTTCCAAGGAGTAAGAATATGATGGCAGAAAACAGTGTACAAGCAAGGTGCTACATATTTTCTCTTGGTTTGCTTATGTGTGTGTGAGCACACACACGTGTGTGTCATGTACTACTGATGTGAAGTCTTATTGTTTCTATCTCAATTTAGTAAATGATGACAGAGGATCTGACAGGGGAACTAACTTGTTTAAGGGTCACTGAACAAGTGTTAAAGTGGAATTCAAATCCCGGTGTACTGATTTGTAAAACCAGTGTTCTTTCTAGAACATCATGCTGCTGCTCCCCCAAGCTATTCAACATCAAGCAGGAGTCCTATCTCAAAGTCCTGAAATTCTAGTTTACTGTACTTCAACCTTTTTTAATCCATGGGCCACCACAGGTTCACACGGCAATGGAATATAACAACCATGGCAACTATAACATTACTCTTAGTTCTATATTGATACAACATATATACATCTTAACCAAAAGAAAACTATATTCCCAATAGAGAATATCTGATATATTTTGTTGACAACATAAAATTCTTTCTTCTTCTGGTTGATCAGAGCTCTATTATAACAGCTAAGGGAGGACATGGTCTTCACTGGTGGTTCAGCTGGTAAATAATCCACCTGCAATGTGGGAGACCTGGGTTCGAACCCTGGGTTGGGAAGATGCCCTAGAGAAGGGAAAGGCTACCCACTCCAGTATTCTGGCCTGGAGAATTCCATGGACTGTATAGTCCATGGGGTCGCAAAAAGTCAGACATGACTGAGCAACTTTCACACACACACACACACACACACACACACACACACACAAGGGAGGACATGGAGGGAAATAATTATTCTTTCACTTTAAAT